ATAGATCTAGACCAGTGGTTCTCGCCCTGTGGGTCCCTGCCCAAGTGTTTTGGCCTACAACTCCCAGAAACCCTAACAGCTGGTAAACTGACTGGGATTTCTGGGAATTGTAGGCCAAAACACTTGGGGAGGGACCCACAGGGTGAGAACCAGATGGTCCTTGAGGGCCTCCTAAGGTCACTATATAGTTCTAGATTGTCCTTGAGGGCCTCCTAAAGTCACTATATAGATCTAGACCAGTGGTTCTCACGCTGTGGTTCCCTGCCCAGGTGTTTTGGCCTACAACTCCCAGAAACCCTAACAGCTGGTAAACTGACTGGGATTTCTGGGAGTTGTAGGCCCAAACACCTGGGGAGAGACCCACAGGGTGAGAACCACTGTCCTGAGGGAAGTGGAAAAGGGTAAAGATTCCTCCAATGCCTCCAAACCCTCTTCATCCTCTTGACTCTGTTTAGCACACTTCGTACTGACAATTTTAAATAGGTTTCCATTTTGCTTGTTTGCAGCTGTGATTTTTTTTTCCCAGAAGAGGCTGCAAAGCTCCAAAGCAGTGGTTCCCCGCCTTCCGAATGCCGTGACCCCTTCATACAGTTTCTCATGTTGTGGTGACCCCTAAAATTGCTGCGGTGCTGGAGCACGAGCACTTCAATGACACCATGACCAAGCCGTGGACACCCAAGACGGGAAGGCCAGACTAAATACCATCCCTGGGGAAGGCAATGTTGCAACTCAGGGTAGGCTTCAGCTTGCTTCCAAACACCACCACACAAGAGCTGTAGTTTTATTGTTTATTGAGGAAAAAATCCAAGTCAAAATTAAGCATTGCAAAGTTCCAAAGATTAAGGTTAAATGCAGGATACAGTTCTAAAGATCTTCAGGTAAAAGCAGGAGACGTAATCCTATTGGCAAAGTTCAAACCAGAGTCCCAGGTACAAGCAAGAAAACATTTGCCCCAAGAATCCCCATGCAAGAAGTCCCAAGCGTACCGCTCCAGGCTAAGGTTATTCCATGAAGCTTTCAGGCTACTAAGCTACGTTGAACTGACAGTTTCGCTTCCTTTGTGAGAAGCCTAAATAGCGTTTTCTAATCATGAAAACATCCTGCTCTCACAGTGGTCCCATGACCTTTCCCCAACCTGGCCTCTTGTCTACAGATCAAGGCCTTCCCTATCAGTGTGGGAAGACACCTGGGTGCTAACTCCCCGACTGGCATTCCTTTCCTGTGAGAACCGCTTGCTTGAATCTCCCCTGTCAGTGAGAGCCTCGGGCTGAGGCACAGAAAAATAGCCAGGAATCTGAATCCCATCACTCTCATCACACTGAGCCACAACAGGCAATGGCAACCCAGCCCAGTATTCTTGCCATGAAAACTAAATGGACCAGTACAACCAGAGATATGTTGGTATGCCATCGGAAGATGGGACTCCCAGGTCGGAAGATGATCAAAACGCTACTGGAGAGGAGCAGAGGAGAAGTTCAACTAGCCCCAGATGTGATGATGTAGCTAGCTCAAAGATGAAAAGGGTAGCGGCTGAAGGTGCTGGAGATGAACGACGAATCCGATGATCTAAAGATCAACACAGCATAGGAATCTGGAATGTAAGATCTGTAAGCCAGGGGCAAACTGGATGTTGTTATTGGTGAGATGTCAAGACTGAAGATAGACATTCTGGGTGTCAGTGATCTGAAATGGACTGGAATGGGCCACTTCACAACAGATGACCACCACATCTACTACTGTGGACAAGAGGGACACGAAAGAAATGGAGTAGCCTTCATAATTAATAATAAAGTCGCTAAAGCGGTGCTTGGATACAATCTGAAAAATGACAGAGGACAGGAGGAGAATTCAAAACGAAATTGACAGATTAGAGAGATGGGCCAAAACTAACAAAATGAAGTTCAACAGGGACAAATGCAAGAGACTCCACTTTGGCAGGAAGAACGAAATGCAAAGAGACAGAATGGGGGACGAGGAGGCCTGGCTCGAGAGCAGGACGTGTGGAAAAGATCTTGGAGTCCTCGTGGACAACAAGTTAAACATGAGCCAGGAATGTGATGTGGCAGCAAAAAAAAAGCCAATGGGATTTGGGCCTGCATCAAGAGGAGCATAGTGTCTAGGTCCAGGGAAGTCATGCTCCCCATGCTCTATTCTGCTTTACTTAGACCACACCTGGAATATTGTGTCCAATTCTGGGTACCACAATTCAAGAGATATTGACAAGCTGGAATGTGTCCAGAGGAGGGCGACTCAAATGATCAAGGGTCTGGAGAACAAGCCCTATGAGGAGCAGCTTAAGGAGTGGGGCATGTTTAGCCTGAAGAAGAGAAGGATGAGAGGAGACATGATAGCCATGTATAATAAATATGTGAGAGGAAGCCACAGGGAGGAGGAGGGAGCAAGCTTCCTTTCAGCTTCCCTGGAGACTAGGACACAATGGAACAATGGCTTCAAACTACAAGAGAGGAGATTCCACCTGAACATGAGGAAGAACTTCCTGACTGTGAGAGCCGTTCAGCAGTGGAACTCTCTGCCCCAGAGTGTGGTGGAGGTTCCTTCTTTGGAAGCTTTTAAACAGAGGCTGGATGGCCATCTGTCAGGGGTGATTTGAATGCAATATTCCTGCTTCTTGGCAGAATGGGGTTGGACTGGATGGCCCAGGAGGTCTCTTCCAACTCTGATTCTATAATGATCTCAATTCGAATTCAAGGCAAGCAATTTCACATCACAGTGATTCAAATATATGGTCCAACTACATCTGCTGAAGAAGCACAAGTAGAACATTTATATGAGGATCTGCAGCATCTACTGGATAATACACCAAAAAGAAACCTTATTTTCATTACAGGAATGCCAAGGTGGGTAATCAAATGACAACTGGGGTCACAGGCAAGCATGGTCTGGGACAACAAAATGAAGCGGGACGCAGGCTGATAGAATTTCCCAGGAAAACACATTGTGCATAACAAACATCTCTTCCAACAACTTAAAAGACTTCACCAGATGGTCAACATTGAAATCAGACTGACAACATTCTTTGCAGCCAAAGGTGGTGGACATCCACCCAGTCAGTGAAAACAAGACTTGGAGCTGACTTTAGTTCAGGTCACAAACTTCTTGTACAATTTAGAATCAGACTAAAGAGAATAGGGAAGGCACACAGACCAGTTAGATAGGATCTCACTAATATTCATGTGAAGAATAGATTTAAGGGACTGGATTTAATAAATAGAGTCCCAGAAGAACTATGGACAGAAGTTCAGGAGGCCACAACGAAGTACATCCCAAAGAAAAAGAAAACCAAGAAGGCAAGATGATTGTCAGTTGAGACACTGGAAGTAGCCCAAGAAAGAAGGAAAGCAAAGAGAAACGGAGATAGGGGGAGATAGGCCCAACTGAATGCACAATTCCATAGGTTAGCCAGAAGACACAAGGAGCCATTTTTAAACAGCAATGCATGGAAGAGGAAGAAGACAATAGAACAGGAAGGACAAGAAACCTCTTTCAGAAAATTAGAAACATGGGAGGTAAATTTCAGGCAAAAATGGGTATGATCAAAAACTAAGATGGCAAGGACCTAACGGTTGCTGAAATAATAACAACAATAATAATCTTTATTTATACCCCACCACCATCTCCCCAAAGGGGACTCGGGGCGGCTAGCATGAGGCCAAGCCCGAAAATACAATACGGCAAAATAAAAATATAAAGCAACAAAAATTACATCACAATAAGATACATAAAGTAACAAAATAAAACAAGCAGTTGCAAAATAACATAATGAAAAAATAGAACACAATGGGCGGGCCAAATGCACAAGATAAAAGTGATAATCAAGAGAAGGTGGCGGGACTAGACAGAAGATCTGCACAGGAAGGATAAGAACATTGAGAATAGTAAGAGGCCACAGAACAACAGACTGGTTCAAGACTGGGAAAGGAGTACGGCAGGGCTGTATACGCTCACCCTACCGAATGCTCAAACTTCTGTACAGTGGCCCTTATGTCTCCTGCCAGGAAGGGAATGCTCAAGATCCTGCAAGGAAGACTCCAGCAAGACATGGAGAGAGAGTGGCCAGATGCACAAGCTGGGTTTAGAAAAGGCAGCGGGATGAGAGACCACATTGCCAATATCTGGATGCTGGATTATGGAGAGAGGCAGGGAGTTTCAGAAAAACATCTATTTCTGTTTCATTGACTATTCTAAAGCCTTTGACTATGTGGATCATAAAAATTGTGGCAAGTTCTTGGTGGGATGGGCACACCAAATCACCTTACCTCTCTCCTGAGGAATCTGTATAAGGACCAAGTAGCAACAGTAAGAACTGACCTTGGAACAACAGACTAGTTCAAGATTGGGAAAGGAGTACAGCAGGGCTGTCTACTCTCACCCAACCTATTCAAATTGTATGCAGGGCACATCATGCGGCGTGTGGGACTCAACAAATCCAGGGCTGGAGTTAAAATGGCTGGACAGAACATTAACAACCTTAGATATGCAGATGATACCACTTTGATGGCTGAAAGCAAGGAGGAGCCGAGGAGCCTTCTAACCAAGTTGAAAAAAGAAAGCGCAAAAGATGGGTTGCAGCTAAATATATATTTAAAAACAAGATGATGGTAACCAGACTGATTGAGAACTGGCAAATAGAGGAAGAAAACATGGAGGCAATGACAAGCTTTGTATTTCTAGGTGCGAAGATGACTGCAGACGCAGATTGCAGCCAGGAAATCAAAAGACGTTTACTTCTTGGGGGAAAAACAATGACCAATTCCAATAAAATAGTCAGGAGTAGAGACATCATACTGGCAATGAAGGTCTGCATAGTTAAAGCAATGGCATTCGTAGTAGTAACCTGTGGATACAAGAGCTGGACATAAGGAAGGTTGAATGAAAGAAGATACACACTTTTGAACTGTGGCATTGGAGGAAAATTTCGAGTCCCTGGACGAATAATTAATTAAATGAATAAGCAACAACAAAATGGATACGTTTATAATTAAGGAAATAAAATGTATTAGTAACAATGATTGTGATGAACCACATGGAGAAACTACTGAAGAAACCTCACAAGGATTATTTATACAGAAAGATTATATGAAACTTATCTCTATATATTACATTATATTATATGTATTGAAAATCTTATATTTATGTTTCACTTTTTCTCTCCATATGAAGACTCAAAGCAGCACAGGAATTAAAAGCATTGCAACACAACTTAAAATATACAAATATTAAAATATTACTAATCATCATTAATATTAAAACATTTCTGGTTAAACCCATAAAAGCATATGAAGTATATAAAATCGCAGCAGGGTTGGATTAGATGGCCCATGCCTACTCTCTTCCAATTCTATTATTCTATGATTCTATGCTATGTCTTTATCGGGTTTCTCCTCAGTGTGAGTCTTCTGATGTTTATGTAGACTTGAACTACGAGTGAAGCTCTGTCCACATATTAGGCATTTATAGGGTTCCTTCCCGATGTGAGTCCTTTGATGTTTACGTAGGACTGCACTCTGAGGGAAGCACTTTCCACACTCCAAGCATTTATAGGGTTTCTCCCCAGTGTGAGACTGTTGGTGTTTGCGAAGGTCTCCACTCTGAGTGAACTTCTTTCCACACTCAAGGCATTGATAGGGTTTCTCTCCAGTATGAATCCTTTGGTGTATATGTAGGGCTCCACTATGAGTGAAGGCCTTTCCACAAACCAAGCATTTATAGGGTTTCTCCCCAGTGTGAGACCGCTGGTGTTTAAACAGATTTGAACTATCCGTGAACCTCTTCCCACACTCCAAGCATTCATGAGGTTTCTCCCCAGTGTGAATCCTTTGATGTCTATGTAGAGTTGAACTACGAGTGAAGCTCTGTCCACATTCCGGGCATGTATAGGGTTTCTCTCCAGTGTGAGTTCTTTGATGTCTATGTAGACTTGCCTTATTAGCGAACCTCTTCCCACACTCCAAGCATTCATAGGGTTTCTCCCCAGTGTGAGTCCTTTGATGTTCACGTAGACTTGAACTACGAGCAAAGGTCTTTCCACACTCCAAGCATGTATGGGGTTTTTCGCCAGTGTGATTCCTTTGATGTTTATGTAGACTTGAACTATGACTAAAGCTCTGTCCACACTCAAGGCATTTATAGGGTTTCTCCCCAGTGTGAACACTTTGATGTTTATGTAGACTTGAACTATGAGTGAAGCTCTGCCCACACTCAAGACATTTAAACGGTTTCTCCCCAGTGTGAATCCTTTGATGTGAACATAAGTCTCCCTTTTGAGCGAAGCCCTTTCCACACTCCAGGCATGTATAGGGTTTCTCCCCAGTGTGAGTCCGTTGATGATTATGTAGATGTTCACTACGAGTGAAGCTATGTCCACACTCCAGGCATTTATGGGGTTTCTCCCCAGTGTGAGTCTTTAGATGTGAACGTAGACCTGCACTCTGAGTGAAGCTCTTCCCACACTCCAGGCATGCATAGGTTTTCTCCCCACTATGAGTCTTTTGGTGCAAATGAAGATCTCCCTTCTGAGCAAAGCTCTTTCCACACTCCAGGCATGGATAGGGTTTCTCCCCAGTGTGGGTCATTTGATGTTTACGTAGATTCCCCCGCTGAGTGAAGCTCTTTCCACACTCCAGGCATTCATAGGGTTTCTCCCCACTGTGAGTCCTTAGATGGGTACGGAGAGTTGAACTCCGAGCAAAGCTCATTCCACACTCCATGCATTTATAAGGCTTCTCCCCAGTGTGATGTTTACGTAGGTCTCCATTCTGAGTGAAGCTCTTTCCACAATCCAGGCATTTATAGGGTTTCTCCCCAGTGTGAATGCTTTGATGTTTACTTAAATTTCCCTTCTGATTGAAACTCTTTCCACACTCCAGGCATTTAAATGCTTTCTCCTCCATGTCAACAGTGATATGGGTGTTTAATTTAATATTCACTGTTTTTATACCCTCTTCACACCCTGAAAGGGAGTCAGAGCAGTCTGTAATTGCAATACAGAGACTTGACTCTTCTTTATTCCTTTATTATCTGTAAGTGAAGTTCAGAATGCAGCAGGATGATCACCTTGACAGGATTTCTTCTTCCAATATTATTGGTTTCCTTACTGCATCCAAGAGGTCGCTCCAAAGAGTCCTCATTTCCCTGGTGAAGAAAGAAGAAAAAGATCAGGGATGAAAGCCAGAAACCTTCTCTACCTCCAAGATTTTCCCCCTTCCCCTTCATGGGTCACGTTGAAAATGGAAATGCAGACATCAGGGCTCAAGCACGTACATAGATACCAGCAAAGAAATGAATCCAGAAAGAAAGAAGACGGGAGTGATGGATGGAAGAAAAAAAATGAATGATAGAAAGAAAAAGGAGGAATCCTAAATTTGGAGGATCACATTGATTTCATTGGGTTGAACACAAATGTGGCTAAAGGTACAGAAGGCAGGCAGGCAGAAAGGCACATTTCTTTGCAATAGTAAAGGGAATAATTCACTGGATAATGTGTTTCCCAGAATGACCAGGACGTGGTAAATGCTAAGGGACATAAGGATTACTGGGCTGCCTCCCTTCCCTTAATGAGTCCCAGGTTTCCTTTCTGAGCATCCCTAATTAGATGCCTGCTGCCACCAAATTTTCTCTTTTCCCAAAGGAATCCCGCAGCTAACCAAGACCCTGCCTCTCCACCCACCTAGTCCAAAACCACATTGAGGCTTGGTGGAGACGTTCACATGATGAGTCTCTGCTGGAGGAAGTCCCCTTTGGGCCACTCATCCCTTGGCTCAGCCCCAGGATGGCATGCACAGACAAGCACAGCTCCACCCACAAGGCCTTCTTCCTGACCACGTCCCTGCCCTCTTCCCCCTTTTCTTCCTCGTCCTCTGTCCAAGGGAAGGTTTCCAGCAGCGGAAGGAGAGCTCGAGAAACACAGGCTTTCCATCCAGGGTCCTTCCGAGGAATGTCTTTGCAGTGACCAACGCAATAAATCCCAACCTGGGGAAGAATGGGCATCTGCTCTGAGCGATCCTCCCATAGAAGCCACCTCAACAATGCCTAAGCACAGGCAAAACAAAAAAATTGAGAACACAGAAGTGCTGGACCACTCTCACAACCACCATGTCAGGCTACACAGAGAAGCCATTGAAATCCACAAGCATGTGGACAATTTCAACAGAAAGAAACCATGAAAATGAACAAAATCTGGCTACCAGTATTAAAAAAACCTCAAAAATTACAACAGCAAAACAACAGAGGGGAAACAAACAGGCACATAAAATTACTCTCAGCAAAAGATTCCCCCCAGGCACTTCCAAGCCATTGAATGCTAATCAAGGTGATCAGCTGAAATTAAAGACTTGGCTGTTCAAGAAGGCGTTCGAACAAGAAGTGCAATAATTGGTAATGACAACAGGAATGGAACAACGGAAAATGATACTGGATTGTGGTTTAAACGATGAGACGACGTGAATGGCTTTTTGTATTATTGATATTGTTGATGTTTTTGATGATGATGTTTTTGGTTATTGCTAGATTGATATTTTAGATTGTGTCTTGAATTTTGAACCTTGTTTTTTCTATGTTGTACACCGCTGTGAGTCGCCCCCGGGCTGAGAACAGTGGTATATAAGCAAAATAAATAAATAAATAAATAAATAAATAAATAAAATATTCACAGCTAGCCCCAGCAGACAAGAGTCCTTTGTCCCACCCTGGTCATTCCACAGTTATATAAACCCATTTTTCCTACTTCCAACAGGCCTCACTACCTCTGAGGATGCTTGCCATAGATGCAGGCGAAACGTCAGGAGAAAAATTGCCTCCAGAACATGGCCATATAGCCCGGAAAAACCTACAACAACCCAGTGATTCCGGCCATGAAAGCCTTCGACAATACACAGGCAAAACAGCCTGAAAAGGGGAAAGCCGACCAGCCAGTCTTCCCCTGCACATTAAATAAAATTACAGAAAACAGTTGGGTAATGACTAGGAACTTTCAAGAAGAACCTCAAAACTTGGCTTTTCCGTTGCGCTTATGAACGGAGTAGCAGGGAAAGTCCTTCATGCAGGAAGGAGGCCGTGCAATATGAAGACATCCATTTTGGGGGGAAATGACAAAGGGGGATGTACAGTCACTTTCCAAAAGCGCAACGGAAAAGCCAAGTTTTGAGGTTCTTCTTGAAAGTTCCTAGTCATTACCCCCCCCCCCCCCCCCCCCCACTGCCACCAGTTAAAGGAGAAGTGAAATAGTGGGGTTGGGCACTGGGCTGTGTATGTGGTGAGTGGAGCATCTTTGACATTTGGAAGGAAGGAATGCAAACTCTCCAATCACACTAAGCAGGGGCATGGATCTATAAGTCTGGCCTCCAGAAAGGAAATCCTAAGGAAAGTGGAGACTGTGGCAAGGAAAGGATGCCTTTTGGCCGTGTGGCCCATATCTGCAACATCAGAGTGAACTCAATTGGGGGAGAATGGCGCAGAGGAGGCAGGAGGGGAAACGCAGCACAAAAGAGGTAAAGCGGCCGCACAGGAATATCTGGCCGATCTAAACCATAGAGTCCTATAATCATAGAGTTGGAAGAGACCACAATGGTCCCAGATAGAACCCGTGGGGGGGGGGGGGGATCCACTGGGATGGAGGGAAAGAGAGAGAAAGGACTCCATTCAAGATCCAGGAGAAAGGCAGTCTGGGAAACTGAGGAAAGGGGACCCTGCTGCGGTCATTTGCATGTTATGTTTGCAAGGAGGCCTTTCTTCCTTGTGAGAGTACTTCAACGGCCTAGCTGCCCACTGCCGCCTATAGCAACACCTCCTTGGCCTTGCTGCCTTACAACTCCTGGGTGGGGCGCCTCTGTGGCCCCCACTACTGGCTGCCGATCCAGTTCCGAGCACAATTCAAAGTGCTGGTTTTGACCTACAAAACCCTATACGGTTCCGGCCCAGCGTATCTGTCCGAACGCATCTCCCTCTACGTCCCACCTCGGAGTTTAAGATCTTCCGGGGAGGCCCTGCTCTCGACCCCGCCTCTATCACAAGTGAGATTGGTGGCGACGAGAAGCAGGGCCTTCTTGGCAGTGGCCCCTCACCTGTGGAATTCACTCCCCGGGGAAATTAGGTCATCGACATCCCTCCTCTCCTTCAGAAGGAAATTAAAAACATGGTTGTGGGACCAAGCTTTCGGGCAATCTGGCAATGAGACAAGGACAATGATGACTAGACAATATGGAATGAATTTATGGACTCTGAGATGGTGAACGCTGAGTACTGACTGGTTTTATTGATTTTTATTGATTTTGTTGTATAAAGTGACTGTTTAATTGTTATAATTGCTGTATACATGTTTTATCCATTGTTTATGTTTAGGCATCGAATTGTGCCTTTTGTAAGCCGCCCTGAGTCCCCCCTCGGGGGTTGAGAAGGGCGGGGTACAAATGCATGAAATAATAATAATAATAATAATAATAATAATAATAATAATACTGCCGACCATAACAACACCCGCACGGGGCCACAGCAACATCTCTTTGCCCCCCCTGCTGCCTTACAACTCTTTCATTGTTATATTTTAACTGTTTAAATTGATATGTTGTATTTATTGTTGTATATGTAATGTGGCTTTGAATTTGCCATGGTCTGTAAGCTGCCCTGAGTCTGTAATGTTCGTGTCAGTATAAGATTAATGTATAGTGTGTGTTTAAATGTAATTTTATGTACAATAGCTGTGATTGTAACAGGATTGTATTGCCAGAGAGTATTCTGCTACAGAAAGGGTTAAACAGTAGAGTTAATAAGCTGTGAAGATGTGACCCTGAGCATTACCTTGAGCGAGTAGGGAGGATACAGAGATAAGTCCTTATAGCTTCAGTGAGTGTGTTCATCGTTCCTTCTTGTTCCTGTCTGTCTACTGATGGTGTATGCTGTATATTTGAGCTGCTTAGTAAAGCTAAATATCTGTTTTATACTGAAGTCTCAAGCGTCCATTTCTTCAGAGCTTCAAAAGCTTCTGCAGCACTCTGACAGGCCCGTTGGATGAGATTGTTGTTGTTGTTGTTCATTCGTTCAGTCGTCTCCGACTCTTCGTGACCTCATGGACCAGCCCACGCCAGAGCTCCCTGTCGGCCGCCACCACCCCCAGCTCCCTCAAGGTCAGTCCAGTCACTTCAAGGATGCCATCCATCCATCTTGCCCTTGGTCGGCCCCTCTTCCTTTTGCCTTCCACTTTCCCCAGCATAATTGTCTTCTCTAGGCTTGGCTGTCTCCTCATGATGTGGCCAAAGGACTTCCACTTTGTCTCTAGTCTCCTTCCCTCCAATGAGCAGTCGGGCTTTATTTCCTGGAGGATGGACTGGTTGGATCTTCTCGCAGTCCAAGGCACTCTCAGCACTTTCCTCCAGCACCACAGCTCAAAAGCATCTCTCTTCCTTCGCTCAGCCTTCCCTAAGGTCCAGCTCTCACATCCGTAGGTGACTACAGGGAAGACCATGGCTTTGACTAGGCAATGGATCTTGGTTGCCAGTCTGATGTCTCTACTCTTGACTATTTTATCGAGACTGGACATGGCTCTCCTCCCAAGAAGGAAGCGTCTTCTGATTTCCTGGCCACAGTCTGCATCTGCAGTAATCTTTGCACCTAGAAATACAAAGTCTGTCACGGCCTCCACGGTTTCTCCCTCTATTTCCCAGTTGTCAATCATTCTTGTTGCCATAATCTTGGTTTTTTTGATGTTTAGCTGCAACCCGGCTTTTGCGCTTTCTCCTTTCACCTTGATTAGAAGGCTCCTCAGCTCCTCCTCGCTTTCGGCCATCAGAGTGGTGTCATCTGCATATCTGAGGTTGTTAATGTTTCTCCCAGCAATTTTCACCCCAGCTTTGCATTCATCCAGCCCCGCACATCGCATGATGTGTTCTGCATACAAGTTAAAAAGGTTGGGTGAGAGGATGCAGCCTTGCCGTACGCCTTTCCCAATCTTGAACCAGTCTGTTGTTCCGTGGTCAGTTCTGACTGTTGCTACTTGGTCCTTGTACAGATTCCTCAGGAGAGAGGGAAGGGGGCTTGGGATGCCCATCCCACTAAGAACTTGCCACAATTTATGATGATCCACACAGTCAAAGGCTTTAGAGTAGTCAATGAAACAGAAGTAGATGTATATCTTCTATATAAATAAAAAAGTAATGCTCATTTGTGGGATTAGCATAACTATAAAGCCATTAGACAAACTGATACCAAATTTGGACACAACACACCTATCAGGCCAACGAGTGACCATCTTCTATATAAATAAAAAAGTAATGCTCGTTTGTGGGATTAGCATAACTATAAAGCCATTAGGAAAATTGATACCAAATTTGGACACAACACACCTATCACAACACACTGGTGAACTGACACCCAATTTGGACACAAGTCACCTCTCAGGCCAACGAGTGACCGTCACTCATAAAAACACTGTAAAACATAGCAGAAGGGACTTAAAAGCCAAAAAAAGCAAAAAGATGCTACAGCGCATGCACAAAAACAGCTAACAACACACACAATAGCATATCCACACTCTCTTTGGGACTACAGCTCCCAGCATCCCCTAGATCAGGCCATTTAGGAGAGGAGGATGATCCAAATGCTCTGCTTCCAAGATGTAAGCTTTCTTCTTCTCCTTGGATTTCTTTGAGAGCACCCCAATCCCTGCAGATTTCCCATTTCCTATTCCTAGACTGCAATTCTCAGCAATCCTCCAGATAGATAAGAATAGCTTGATTAGAAAGAGATAGATAGGTAGATTAACTGATCAGGAGGACTGCTGGGAGTTGTAATCCAAGAATAGGTAGAGAAGGAAGAAAGGGGAGAAACGAGAAAGGAAAAGAGGGGGAAGGGAAGAAGAAGAGAAGGAAGGAAAGAGAGAGAGAAGGAAAGAAGAAAAGAGACGGAAGTAAGGAAAGAGGGAGGGAAGGAGAGAAAAAGGGCAGGAAGGTTGGCCACAGCAATGCATGGCAGGGGATAGCTAGTCAATATAAATAAAAATGTAATGTTCGTTTGTGGGATTAACAGAACTCAAAAGCCACTAGATGAATTGACTCCCAATTTGGACACAAGACACCTCTCAGGCCAACGAGTGACCATCACTCATAAAAACCATCACCACTCATAGAAATACTGAAAAACACATTGGAAGAGACTTAAACAGCCAAAAAATAAAAAATACATTACAACGCATGCACAAAACAACATACACACACACACACAAATACACATATACACAAATATATACACACACAAAACGCATATACACAAACTGGGCCACAGCAACGCGTGGCAGGGGACAGCTAGTCTTATATAAAAAAATGTAATGTTCGTTTGTGGGATTAACAGAACTCAAAAACCACTGGACAAATTGACATCAAATTTGGACAAAAGACACCTAACAACCCAATTTATGTCCTTCATTCAAAAAAATGATTTTGTCATTTGGGAGTTGTAGTTGTTGGGATTTATAGTTCACCTACAATCAAAGAGCATTCTGAACTCCACCAAATATGAAATTGGGCCAAACTTAGCACAAAGAACTCCCATGACCACCAGAAAACACTAGGAGGGGTTGGTGGGCATTGACCTTGAGAGTTGTAGTTCACCTATATCCAGAGAGCCCTGTGGACTCACACAATGACCAAACTTGGCACGAATATTCCATATGCCGAAATATGCAGACAAATGGAGTTTGGGGGAAATAGACCTTGACATTTGGGAGTTGTAGTTACTGGGATTTATAGTTCACCTACAATCAAAGAGCCCCCAGTGGTGCAGTGGGTTAAAGCACTGAGCTGCTAAGTTTGTTGACCAAAAGGTCGCGGGTTCAAATACAGAAAGTGGCATGAGCTTCCGCTGTCAGCCCCATCTTCTGTCAACCTAGCAGTTTGAAAACATGCAAATGTGAGTAAATCAATAGGTACCGCTCTGGCAGGAAGGTAGCGGCACTCCTTGCAGTCATGCTGGCCACATGACCTTGGAGGTGTCTGGGGACAACGCCGACTCTTTGGCTTAGAAATTGAGATGAGCACCACCACCCCAGAGTTGAACACGACTGGACTTAATGTCAGGGGAAAACCTTTACCTACAATCAAAGAGCATTCTGAACCCCACCAACAACAGAATTGGGGCAAACTTCCCACACAGAAGAACCTTGATGACCAACAGAAAATACTTAAGGCCATCCAGTCCAACTCCTTTCATCAGGGCAAGAAAACGTAATCAAAGCCCTCCTGACAAAGAGCCATCTAGATATATGTAGTTATGTATGATTCACATATACACAGATATAGTATCCTAGATTAGAAAGGGACCCCTAAAAAAAGACAATTCTATGTCACATATTCCAGAGTGGGCAAACCAGACAATCTCCACATCAACACCGACAAAGAAACAGGAAGAAGTGCTGTTTACCCACAAGCAGAAAGAAAATCCATATATTAGAAACCAAAATTTTCTCATTACTTTATTTTCCAGATCAACAGATTGGGCCACAGCAACACATGGCAGGGGACGGCTAGCATATAAATAAAAATGTAATTTTCTTTTGTGGGATTAATGTAACTCAAAAAACACTGGACGAATTGACACCAAATTTGGCCACAAAACACTTGATAATGCAAGGAGTGATCATCACTCAAAAAATTGATTTTGTCATTTTGGAGTTGGAATGAACCAAACGTGGCACACAGGGCTCCCATGACCAACAGAAAACACTAGAAGGGTTTGGTGGGCATTGACCTTGAGTTTGGGAGTTCCAGTTCACCTCCATCTAGAGGGTACTGTGGACTAAAACAATGAAGGATCTCGACCAAACTTGGCACAAATACTCCATATGGCCAAATATGAACACAGATGGAGTTTGGAAGGAAATGGACCTTGACATTTGGGAATAGTAGTTACTGGGATTTATAGTTCACCTACAATCAAAGAGCATTCTGAACCCCACCAACGACAGAACTGGGGCAAACTTCCCACACAAAACCCACATGTCCAACAGAAAATACTTAAGGCCTCGAGTCCAACTCCCTTCACCAGGGCAAGAAAACATAAACAAAGCCCTCTTGACAAAGAGCCATCCACCCATAGATATAGATATATATGATTCACACGCACACAGATATAGTATCATAGATTTGAGAGGGACCCCTAAAGAAGGGCAATTATATGTTGCATGTTCCTGAGTAGGCAAACCAGACAATCTCCACATTAACAATAAGAAATACTGTTTACCCACAAGCCGAAATAAATTACATATATTAGAATCCAACACTTTCACATTACTTTATTTTCCAGATCACCAGACTGGGCCACAGCAACACCTGGCAGGGGATGGCTAGTCTCTCATAAAAACACTGAAAAATAAAAAAAAAATACATTACAACGCATGCACAAAACCACATATAAATACGCAAACACACACATATACACAAATACAGAAACTTTACTGTTGGAATGGCTACCACGAGATAGGGCGGATGGATGGGTGAGTGGAGCGAGGGACTCATTGCTAACCTAGAGCCCAAGGCGCTCTTGTAGGGTCTTGGCATCCCTCCCTCCCACAGAATCAATCTTGGGGCAGTCCAACCCACTTTCCCCCGTGTTTTTACGGTAGACCCCAATGGATCACCCAGGGACAGGAATCCTCATGTGACGTGACCGAGTGTGATCTGCCACTCAGACAGGAGGCAGGCCTTGGGGTTGCTGAAACTGCCTTCCGGGCTGAGCCAGGGTTTCTCCTGTTTGCCTGCGAAACACTCCCTCTATTATTTATTTGTTTATGTACAGGAGATATGATAGCCATGTATAAATATGTGAGAGGAAGCCACAGGGAGGAGGGAGCAGATCAAGGGTCTGGAGAACAAGCCCTATGAGGAGCGGCTTAAGGAGCTGGGCATGTTTAGCCTGAAGAAGAGAAGGCTGAGAGGAGATATGATAGCCATGTATAAATATGTGAGAGGAAGCCACAGGGAGGAGGGAGCAAGCTTGTTTTCTGCTTCCTTGGAGACTAGGACGCGGAACAATGGCTTCAAACTACAAGAGAGGAGATTCCATCTGAACATTAGGAAGAACTTCCTGACTGTGAGAGCCGTTCAGCAGTGGAACTCTCTACCCCGGAGTGTGGTGGAGGCTCCTTCTTTGGAAGCTTTTAAGCAGAGGCTGGATGGCCATTTGTCAGGGGTGATTTGAATGCAATATTCCTGCTTCTTGGCAGACTGGGGTTGGACTGGATGGCCCATGAGGTCTCTTCCAACTCTTTGATTCTATGATTTTCTATTCCGCCCTTCTCCTCACCCTGCAGGGGACTCAGGGCGGATTACAGTGTACACATATATGGCAAACATTCAGTGCCAATTTTTGACATACAAACATATACAGACATACACAGAGGCTATTTAACTTTTTCTGGCCGCCAGGGGAGCTGTCGCTTTCATCGTCCATCTGCGACGCTGATGAAGCACTTCCACATTCCCCGCATGCTTCCCTGCTGGAGTGCTTCTTTATGGCCTCATAAATTAGTTAATTTATCCTCCCCACACTTTTAAAGTGGCACCTTATTTTCCTACTTGACAGATGCAACGGTCTTTCATAGAATCATAGAATCAAAGAGTGGGAAGAGACCTCGTGGGCCATCATCCAGTCCAACCCCTGCCAAGAAGCAGGAATATTGCATTCAAATCACCCCTGACAGATGGCCATCCAGCCTATGTTTAAAAGCTTCCAAAGAAGGAGCCTCCACCACACTCCCGGGGCAGAGAGTTCCACTGCTGAACGGCTCTCACAGTCAGGAAGTTCTTCCTAATGTTCAGATGGAATCTCCTCTCTTGTAGTTTGAAGCCATTGTTCCTCGTCCTAGTCTCCAAGGAAGCAGAAAACAAGCTTGCTCCCTCCTCTCTGTGTGGTTCCTCTCACATATTTATACATGGCTATCATATCTCCTCTCAGCCTTCTCTTCTTCAGGCTAAATGCCATTGATTTTACTAGCGTCAGGAAGCCCTTGTTCCATGTCCTAGTCTCCAGGGCAGCAGAAGACAAGCTTGCTCCCTCCTCCCTATGACTTCCTCTAATTTATTTATACATGGCTATCATGTCTCCTCTCAGCCTTCTCTTCTTCAGGCTAAACATGCCCAACTCTTTAAGCCGCTCCTCATGAAGCCATTGCTCCGCGTCCTAGTCTCCAAGGAAGCAGAAAACAAGCTTGCTCCCCCTCCTCCCTGTGGCTTCCTCTCACATATTTATACATGGCTATCATATCTCCTCTCAGCCTTCTCTTCTTCAGGCTAAACATGCCCAGTTCCCTAAGCCGCTCCTCATAGGGGTTGTTCTCCAGACCCTTGGCAGCAGAAAACAAGCTTGCTCTCTCCTCCCTGTGGCTTCCTCTCACATATTTATACATGGCTATCATGTCTCCTCTCAGCCTTCTCTTCTTCAGGCTAAACATGCCCAGCTCCTTAAGCCGCTCCTCATAGGGCTTGTTCTCCAGACCCTTGATCATTTGAGTCGCCCTCCTCTGGACACATTCCAGCTTGTCAATATCTGTCTTGAATTGTGGTGCCCAGAATTGGACACAATATTCCAGGTGTGCAAAGGTCGGGTTGCAAAGGTCGGGTTGCAAAGGTCGACAACAGGCTACACAATGGTTGGAAACCCACTCCAACCTGGGCTGGCTTCGAACTCGAACCTTTTGGTCAGAGTGATCTTAATGCCGCTGACACTCAGCCAGCTGCGCCACAATCCCAGTGCTTATGACAAGCCTGGGCCAATTTGGGCCCTCCAAGTGTTTTGGACTCCAACTCCCACCATTCCTCACGCCCTCAGGCCCTTTCTCTGCTATGGCTTAAGCGGCTGAGGGGGAAAAGGAAAGAGCCTGAGGGCGTGAGGAATGGTGGGAGTTGGAGTCCAAAACTCCTGGAGGGCCCAAGCTGGGGACACTCCACCCTCCCCTCCTTCCTTCCTTCCTTCCCGCTTGGCCACAAAATGGCGGCCGCTGAGGGAGAAGGCGAGGCCTGAGGGAAGGGCCTTGCCGGCCAGTTCGGGCACCCAATGCCTCAGAGAGAGAGACGGGCCGAGGGAGGGTCAAAGTCCGGAAACTTCCCTACCTGAGCGGCTCCACGTCTCACCTCTTCCCGGCCTGCTTTGCTTCCTTCCTTCCTTCCCGCTCGCCTCCGCCTCGTCCTTCTAAAATGGCGGCGGTTGACAAGGGGGCGGGGCTTGCGTGACGTCTTGGACCGAGGGCTTTCCCCATTGGCTGAGCCCGCCTCGCTCCTGCCTCTCCCCTCCAATCCCAAGGGCGGGGGAGCGTCCCGTGCCCCGGATGTGGGCGGGGCTGGTTCCAGGCCTGTCAAACCGCCTCAGCTGAAAGGCCTCAAAGGAATCTCTCAGAGAGCCAGGCAGTCTACACTGTTTATCTCTTTTCCTCATAGACCTGTCAGCAGCTTATGAGACTGTGAACCACCATTGCCTCCTCCTGAGGAAAATGTATAATATCACAAAGGACTTCCACCTCACCCGCCTCATAGGAAACCTGCTACAAAACAGGAGCTTTTGTTGAGTTCCAGGGCCAGAGAAGCAGATGGCGGAAACAGAAGAACGGCCTGCCTCAGGGGAGCGTGATTGCTCCATCCATGTTCAACATCTACACAAATGACCAGCCACGGCCAGAAGGGACGGAGAGCTTCATCTATGCTGATGATCATGCCATTACCGCTCAAGCAGGGAGCTTTGAACAGGAGCTTTTTTGTTGAGTTCCAGGGCCGGGAGAAGCAGATGGCGGAAACAGAAGAACGGCCTGCCTCAGGGGAGCGTGCTTGCTCCATCCATGTTCAACATCTACACAAATGACCAGCCACTGCCAGAAGGGACAGAGAGCTTCATCTATGCTGATGATCGTGCCATCACCACTCAAGGAAATCAGCTACCAAACAGGAGCTTCTTTGTTGAGTTCCAGGGCCAGAGAAGCAGATGGCGGAAACAGAAGAACGGCCTGCCTCAGGGGAGCGTGCTTGCTCCATCCATGTTCAACATCTACACAAATGACCAGCCACTGCCAGAAGGGACAGAGAGTTTCATCTATGCTGATGATTGCCATCACCACTCAAACAGGGAGCTTTGAGATGGTTGAACAGAAGCTCTCCGAAGCTCTAGGTGCTCTTACTGCTATTACAGGGAAAACCAGCTGATCCCTAATCCATCTAAAACACAGACATGTGCTTTTCACCTTAAGAACAGACAAGCATCCCAAGCTCTGAGGATTACCTGGGAAGGAATCCCACTGGAGCATTGCAGCACACCCAAATACCTGGGAGTTACCCTGGAGCATGCTCTGACCTACAAGAAGCACTTGCCTGAACATCAAGCAAAAAGTGGGCGCTAGAAACAACATCATACGAAAGCTGACTGGCACAACCTGGGGATCACAACCAGACACAGTGAAGACATCTGCCCTTGCGCTATGCTACTCTGCTGCTGAGTACACATGCCCAGTGTGGAACACATCTCTCCATGCTCAAACAGTGGATGTGGCTCTTAATGAGACATGCCGCATTATCACGGGGTGTCTGCGCCCTACACCACTGGAGAAATTACACTGCTTAGCCGGTATTGCACCACCTGACATCCACCAGGAAGTAGCAGCCAATAGTGAAAGGACCAAGGCAGAGACATCTCCAGCTCATCCCCTGTTTGGGTATCAGCCAGCACGTCAACGACTTAAATCAAGAAATAGTTTTCTAAGATCTACAGGGACACCTCAGCAAGCGGGAGCCCAAAAGTGGCAGGCTCAAACCCAGAACCACAGTCAGTGGCTGATACCAAATGAGAGACTCCGCCCTGGGCACACAGAAAACGGGGCAACTTGGAAGGCACTGAACAGACTGCGCTCGGGCACCACGAGATGCAGAGCCAAGCTTAAGAAATGGGGCCACAAAGTGGAATCCTTGACATGCGGGTGCAGAGAGGAGCAAACCACTGACCACCTGCTGCAATGCCACCTGAGCCCTGCCACATGCACAAGGAAGGACCTTCTTGCAGCAACACCAGAGGCACTCCAAGGGGCCAGATACTGGTCAAAGGACATTTAATCAACTACCAAACTCACACATTTTGTATTTTATCTCTTTGTTTGCTTTGTTCTATTAGAAATGTAATATAATTGACTGGCTGCCCTGACACGAGAAATAAATAAATTTGGGAGTTGTAGTTGCTGGGATGTATAGCTCACCTATAATCAAAGAGCATTCTGAACTCCACCAATGATGGAATTGAACCAAACTTGGCACACAGGACTCCCATGACCAACAGAAAATACTAGCAGCGTTTGGTGGGCATTGACCTTGAGTTTGGGAGTTGTAGTTCACCTACATCCAGAGAGCACTGTGGACTCAAACAATTATGGATCTGGGCCAAACTTTGCACGAATATTCCATATGCCCAAATACGAACACAGATGGAGTTTGGGGGAAATAGACCTTGGCATTTGGGAGTTGTAGTTACTGGGATTTATAGTTTACCTACACTCAAAGACCATTCTGAATGAACCCCACGAATGACAGAACTGGGGGAAACTTCCCACACAGAATCCCCATGACCAACAGAAAATACTGAAGTCCACCCAGTCCAACTCCCTTCACCAAGGCAAGAAAACGTAATCAAAGCCCTCCTGACAGAGAGCCCATCCAGCCATAGATATAGATAGATATATGATTCACACACACACAGATAAAGTATTATAGATTTGAAAGGGACTCCTAAAGAAGGATAATTATATGTTGCATGTTCCAGAGTAGGCAAACCGGACAATTTCTACTTCAACACTGTCAAAAAAAACCATCAAGAAATACTGTTTACCCACAAGCATAAAGACATTACATATATTAAAACCCAGCACTTTTTATTACTTTATTTTCCCTATCACCAGACGGGGCCACAGCAACGCGTGTCAGGGGACCGCTAGTATATATTGAATGTTTACCAGGAAAGGGGGGTGGGGCAGGGAAGGAAGAAAATTAAACAATTGGGGAGAGTAGATTTGTTATGGGTGAGTTGGGCCTTGACAGGAATCTGATCTCTTGGCAGTCCAGTCTTCCCTCGCTTCTTCGCGGCTCGCTTATTGAGGACTCGCTGTTTCGCGGATTTCAACAAATATTATTAAGGTCTGTTGGAACTAGGACAAAGGTTTATATATTTGTGGAATGACGAGGGTGGGACAAAGGACTCTTGTCTGCTGGAGCTAGGTGTGAATGTTTCAACTGACCACCTTGATTAGCATTTGATGGCCTGACAGTGCTTGGAGCAAACTTTTGTTGAGAGGTGATTAGATGTCCCTGCCTGCTTCCTCTCTGTTGTTGTGCTGTTGCAATTTTAAACAATTGGGGAGAGTAGATTTGTTATGGGTGAATGGGGCCTTAACAGGAATCTGATCTCTTGGCAGTCCAGTCTTCCCTCCCTTCTTCGCGGCTCGCTTATTGCGGACTCGCTGTTTTGCGGGTTTCAACAAATATTGTATTGTCGAAAGCTTTCATGGCCGGAATCACTGGGTTGTTGTAGGTTTTTTCGGGCTAAATGGCCATGTTCTAGAGGCATTCTCTCCTGATGTTTCGCCTGCATCTCTGGCAAGCATCCTCAGAGGTAGTGAGGTCTGTTGGAATTAGGAAAATTGGTATATATATCTGTGGAAGGACCAGGGTGGGACAAAGGACTCTTGTCTGCTGGAGCTAGGTGTGAATGTTTCAACTGACCGCCTTGATTAGCATTTAATTGCCTGGCAGTGCCTGGAGCAATCTTTTGTTGAGAGGTGATTAGATGTCCCTGCCTGCTTCCTCTCTGTTGTTGTGCTGTTGCAATTTTAGAGTTTTTAAATACTGGTAACCAGATTTTGTTCATTTTCAATTTTAGAGTTTTTAAATACTGGTAACCAGATTTTGTTCATTTTCATGGTTTCCTCCTTTCTGTTGAAATTGTCCACCTGCTTCCTGTGGATTTCAATGGCTTTTCTGTGTAGCCTGACATGGTGGCTGTGAGAGTGGTCCAGCATTTCTGTGTTCAATGTAAAATATCAGGGAGGGGATCCGGGGATGAGGTAGGATTTAATTGCACGAACCATAACATAAAGTGCTTTAAATGTAAGCCAATGAGTCGACCACCATCTTACACGTGTCCTGTTGCAACTCAGAGTAAGCTTCACCTTGCTGCCAAACACCACCACACAAGAGCTGTAGTTTTATAGTTTATTGAGGAGAAAATCCAAGTCAAAATAAAGAGCAAGCATTGCAAAATTCCAAGGATTAAGGTTAAAAGCAGAATATAGTTCCAAAGATCTTCAGGTAAAAACAGGAGACATAATCCTAATGGCAAAGTTCAAACCAGAGTCCCAGGTACAAGCAATGAAACAATTGCCCTACGAATCACCATGCAAGAAATCCCAAGCGTACTGCTTTCCAGGCTAAGATTATTCCAGGAAGCTTTCAGGCTAGTAAGCTACATTGAACTGACGCTTTTACAGAGTTTCCAGGAGGCCAAAATACCTTTCTACCATCAAAACATTAGCCTCTCAGCATCATAAAAGCATTGCGACGACCTTTCACCGAGCTAGCCTCCCGTCTGCTTGCCAGACGCGAACTCCGCCTGACCCGGAGATCAAGGCGAGCTTCTCGGGTCAAGTCACTATCTACACTTTCGGTATCATCGTGGGAAGGCGCCTGCTCGCTATCCCCTTCGTTAAAATTCCTTTCTGGTGAAAACAGCTGTGTTGACACTGCACTGTCTGTGGGAGCCTCAGAAGCAGGCTCAGAGATTTGAGGCACAGACAAAGAGCCAGGAAGCTGAAATCCAACAGGAATCTGAATCCCATCATCCTCATCGGCAGAAAATAGCTCAGCCACAACATGTCCTGAGTCACGTAGGCTACCTGAGCACACAGTTAGAAGGGTATATAAGTTGATGGATTTCCTTTTGCCCCCCCCCCCCCCCCATTTTGCCATTTGCCATTTTGTTTTTGCTCTGTTTCCTACCTTTTGAGATGTCACCGTTTTTGGAGGAGAGAGGCCTAATCACCGTCTTAAGGCCGGATTCATTGCTGTGAATGTAACCGAGGATTCGTTACCTGTATGAGACTTACATCACGCAAGCTCTTGCCTTAGTAAATCAACTGTTTTGTCTCTAACTCTGTTATTTGCATGCGTGTTTCCTAAAAG